ACGGCCGCCGTCGTTGCAGAACAAGAGCCACGGCTCGCTCGGCAAACTCGTTTGCTCATTAAAATCTCATAAAACGCTGATACGTCTTTAATCTGCCGTCCGCGAGCGTGTTTCCCGCGCTCGAGGAAATCCCGCAGCGTGGCCTTAACTTTGATCCTAGACGGGCAACGATCACGGCCGACTCCTCGTGCCAAGCGGACCGCGACGAAAGAATCTTTGGAACAGTTACACAGGACAAACCGTGGATCCTCGACGCTCGTCGTGCTTCGACTCTCCTCTTGGAAAGTAATATTTGTCCTCGATACTAGAACAGCACTTTTCATTGTTCCGCTGCTCTCGTCACGAAACACTGTTCGGTCGTGGTCGTTGAACCGAACTGTTTAGGTAATGGATCGGATCGCTGGGCACAGTGGCATCAGTATTGTACGTGGTATATAGCGTGCTTCTTGGTTAAAATGTCCTAGTTCTCGTTTTGAAACCGAAGGGAGCTGGAGTTTCATATTTTTTCTTTTTCGTTATTGTTGTCTTTATTTTTCTTCTTGGAATAATTAATGACTGTTTTGTAATAGTCTATCCATATAGTGTAACTTCACTTTATGGGAAAAGTTAAGAAACAAGAGGAGCTTCAAATATATTATTTAATATATAATTATAATGTGTGTATATATTTGAAGTTGCTTTTGTTTATTATATATATGTATTGAAATGAAAAAAGATGTATGTGTATATTCACAAATGACAGGATGCTAAATATGATATTTTATTGGTAATGGAATTTGTATGTGTTTTTCAACCTCTCTTTTAATATAAGAGACAAGAGGAACCTCAAATAAACATTTTAAGGTTTTTTGATAAATAAGAAAATGTTATATGTGATATTGTATTTGATAATGGAACTTGTATGTGACCTACAACTTTTCTTAAAAAATAAGAAACAAGAGGAACCTCAAATAAACGTTTTAAGGTTTTTTGATAAATAAGAAAATGTTAAATGTGATATTGTATTTGATAATGGAATTTGTATGTGTCTTGCAATTTTTCTTAAAAAAATAAGAAACAAGAGGAACCTCAAATAAACATTTTAAGGTTTCTTGAAAAATAAGAAAATGTTAAATGTGATATTGTATTTGATAATGGAATTTGTATGTGTCTTGCAACTTCTCTTTTAATATAAGCAACAAGAGGAAATGCAAATAGACATTTCAAAGTTTTTTGAAAAATAAGAAAATGCTAAATATGATATTATATTTAATAATGGAATTTGTATGTGTCTTGCAACTTCTCTTTTAATGTGAGAGACAAGAGGAACTTTAAACAAACATCTGAAGTTTTCTTGAAAAATAAGAAAATGTTAAATGTGATATTGTATTTGATAATGGAATTTGTATGTGTCTTGCAATTTTTCTTAAAAAAATAAGAAACAAGAGGAACCTCAAATAAACGTTTTAAGGTTTTTTGATAAATAAGAAAATGTTAAATGTGATATTGTATTTGATAATGGAATTTGTATGTGTCTTGCAACTTCTCTTTTAATGTGAGAGACAAGAGGGATCTCAAATAAATATTTTAAGGTTTCTTGAAAAATAAGAAAATGTTAAATGTGATATTGTATTTGATAATGGAATTTGTATGTGTCTTGCAACTTCTCTTTTAATATAAGAGACAAGAGGAACCTCAAATAGATATTTTAACATATCTTGATAAATAAGAAAACAATATTGAATACGATATTTTATTTGATAATAGAACTTGTATATGTTTCTCAATTTCTCTCAAAGGTAGGAGACAAGAGGAACCTCAAATAGACATTTCAACATATCTTGAAATATGAGAAACTAATGTTGATATTTTACTTGATAATGGAATTCGTATATGTTGCGCAGCCTACTGAACATTTCAAAACGTTGATTGCCATAATACTATATATCCTCGAGGGTCTACGAAATGCCATAGAAAACTTGTCTCGTCTATCTATTACTTTCATTGTGTCACTAAACGACATCAGCATAAAATAACAGATAAAAATTTGCGACTAACTGAAGCATTCGTTTCACAGACAAAAAGCGAACATCCCAAAAATACCCATCTCTCATATACACCAATATCGATACACTAGCCTCTATCTCTGTCAAGAACATTCGATTCTCAAGAATTTTACAGTCCAACGAAATTCCATTTACCAACAGCTTCTTTCTCAACCGTAGAGTAGCTCACTTTCCATTCGAAAGTCGTTCGAAATCTTTTCGTTCGGCCAACGAGCAACGTTTCCAGTCGAAGTTAGCAACGGGGTGTTCGAATTAGCGTTTCTGACTACGGATAAATATAGAGGGCCACCCAGCGAGAGCAAACTAATGTACCGTGTGCGATGAGCGTGATGGTAAAGCGTAGTTTCGCTCTCTCTCTCTCTTTCTCTATTCTCCTTTTGTCACACCATTCTCACTCTCCGCCGCCCTTTCTCTTCGTCCGCGTCTCACCCTTTGCATATATTTTCACGCGAAATCGTCGTCCTCTGTGCGAGCTATACGCCAACCTCGCAGTCCCTTTCTGTTCTCCGACGAGTGATAAGTCATTAGGACCAGCCGGTCGAATCGTACGTGTTTTCGCCTAAACGAATGCAACCCGGTGTCACTTGCTACCTAACGCTTGCCATGTGACACGGCGACCATATCGCCTGAGAAATCCAATTTTCCGTGCGTTCGCAGGAAGCGAGAAAATGCAGAGAGCGCGAGAGTAATGTCCTTGTCACGGCAAACGTACAAGCCGTGTTGTACGCTTTATTAGCGTACACTGACGCGATTTGCAGGAAATTTCGCCGCTGCAACGTGCCAGATGCGCGTTGGTATTACGCGCAGAACATCGTGGTATTATAAAACCTCTTAGTCATTCGTCGGATCTCTTAATTCTTGCTGAAGCTTGTCAAGGCAAGATTCTCGGCCAGTAACTACAAAAGCGACTGATTTTTGCCAATTTCTTTTTGACCGACTGTCGCTTCTCACCGACTAGACCATTTTTGCCACGCACATTGACGATTCCTTGCAAGATACAGATGTAATTTTTGTATTTCGGTTCTTCTTATTGTTCGTCGTACGTCACACGGGTCTTGACGAGAATTATCGTTGACGCGCATCCGTCGCGGTCGTCAAAACGAAAAGGTTGACAAATTTTCGTAAAGTTAGATGATTTATGCTGGGTCGTTGTGAAGGTACGTTTGAAATACGAGACACGGATAAGGAACGTGACACGGGAAGAAGATAGCCAAGCAATATCTAACACACGTTTAGTAAGAAACTTGTAATATGTAGCAATTTAATAAAAATTGTCGCAGCGTTTCATAACTTAAAGTAGTTTCTAGTCGATCAATTAAATTATTTTAACCTTCCAAAATTTATGAATTAACGCAGATAGTTAAACACTGTGTGTACTGTGTACAGAGAAAAATGTGTATCTTCGTTGAATCTTAAGTAATCTTAGAATGAAAGAATCGTATTAGAATATTTAATTAGCCACATTTAATTAGTTGTTGTTTCACGTTAGTTTTAGTTGAAAAATGGGACAAAGAATATCTTCGCTTGCCTAAACGAATGCTCTACACGTTTATCTCCGGAGTCATCGTAGATTATCTAAGGCCGATAATGACACAGCGTACGTCACGATACATTGAGCTGAATATGTAGAAACTTTCTAAAAAATTATCGGCTCGTCCCGTAAGAAACGTCTATGTTTTAAAATACGAACAGAGACATTATGGTTAATCAAACAACGAGAGGAAATATTTATATAATCACCAGCAAATAAATTATTCCATTTTACGTGCGTTCCATTTTAATAGCGATATCAATAAACATACTAATAGTGAGATTGTAAGAAATGTTAGAAGATAACTACGTACACGTACACTGTTTTACCACAGCAAGTATACGTAATAGTACATTGCAGAGCATCGAATAGAAAATAGCAAGAACGAAATCGTAAAGAAAAATCGAGTTGAGAGAAATTTCGCTATTTTACCGAGGGAGGAAGCTGAAAAAAGCAAGGACAACTGCGTGCGAAATTTAACAACGGAACTACGACATTTTTGATAATCTCGCGGGCCACATGAACATGACGTATCAGCGCGAAAATTGTCAAAAAATGAAAAGCACTAGATATTATTCCATTCTATCCAAGCTTGTCTTGTTAAATAAAAAAGAAGATCGTAAAATATTTCGATTCGTTAGACAAAGATGTTTGCAATATTTTAAAAAGCGTATTCACCTTGAACCCAGAGCTGTTCGACCTTGCTGTGAACTTGAGCGGTCTTGAGAGCGACACAGAACATAGCCAAAGCGATGATCGCGAGAAAGAGGACCTTGCCTGCGCGCCTCTGCAGGAAGTAGCCCAGCTGACTCAGCTGATCCTGCAGCCTTGCCCTGATCCAAACCGCAGATCTCTGACCTTCCGCTTTGCCCTGAAAAATAAGGCATCTGAAACTTTAGACTATCGCGACCAACACTAATATATAATCAATATGTTAAACGAATAATTGTTTCTAGGATTTATCGAGGAAATTATATTTTCAAAAATTCTGTTTTCCTTCTCGTTGTGCTGAGAATTCAATTTCTACAGGGTGGTTGGTAACTGGTGGTACAAGCGGAAACGGGGTGATTCTACGCGAAAAAAGAAGTCGAAAATATAGAATAAAAATTTTTCGTTCGAGGCTTTGTTTTCGAGAAAATCGACTTTGAATTTTCGGTCGGTACGCGTGCACTTTATCACGTCCCGTTATAATGGATCTCACTGTAGATCGTTGTCTCGATGGAAAAATTAAAAAAAATTTTATTCTATATTTTCGACTTCTTTTTTCGCGTAGAATCACCCCGTTTCCGCTTGTACCACCAGTTACCAACCACCCTGTAGAAATTGAATTCTCAGCACAACGAGAAGGAAAACAGAATTTTTGAAAATATAATTTCCTCGATAAATCCTAGAAACAATTATTCGTTTAACATATTGATTATATATTAGTGTTGGTCGCGATAGTCTAAAGTTTCAGATGCCTTATTTTTCAGGGCAAAGCGGAAGGTCAGAGATCTGCGGTTTGGATCAGGGCAAGGCTGCAGGATCAGCTGAGTCAGCTGGGCTACTTCCTGCAGAGGCGCGCAGGCAAGGTCCTCTTTCTCGCGATCATCGCTTTGGCTATGTTCTGTGTCGCTCTCAAGACCGCTCAAGTTCACAGCAAGGTCGAACAGCTCTGGGTTCAAGGTGAATACGCTTTTTAAAATATTGCAAACATCTTTGTCTAACGAATCGAAATATTTTACGATCTTCTTTTTTATTTAACAAGACAAGCTTGGATAGAATGGAATAATATCTAGTGCTTTTCATTTTTTGACAATTTTCGCGCTGATACGTCATGTTCATGTGGCCCGCGAGATTATCAAAAATGTCGTAGTTCCGTTGTTAAATTTCGCACGCAGTTGTCCTTGCTTTTTTCAGCTTCCTCCCTCGGTAAAATAGCGAAATTTCTCTCAACTCGATTTTTCTTTACGATTTCGTTCTTGCTATTTTCTATTCGATGCTCTGCAATGTACTATTACGTATACTTGCTGTGGTAAAACAGTGTACGTGTACGTAGTTATCTTCTAACATTTCTTACAATCTCACTATTAGTATGTTTATTGATATCGCTATTAAAATGGAACGCACGTAAAATGGAATAATTTATTTGCTGGTGATTATATAAATATTTCCTCTCGTTGTTTGATTAACCATAATGTCTCTGTTCGTATTTTAAAACATAGACGTTTCTTACGGGACGAGCCGATAATTTTTTAGAAAGTTTCTACATATTCAGCTCAATGTATCGTGACGTACGCTGTGTCATTATCGGCCTTAGATAATCTACGATGACTCCGGAGATAAACGTGTAGAGCATTCGTTTACGTTCCTTTATCGTTTTACAAACTGTGTTCGATGGCGACGAAAAGAAATACCGTAGAGACCTGTGAACGTTGCTGGAAATATTACAATAAAAATAAAACGTGTAATTATTGGAACAACAAATTGCAAGAAGAATTGCACGAAAATAATTATTAAATTTCAACTTGGCGCCCCTTTACTTTACATTTCGCTAGAATCTTCTCAAACTATTGGGCGTTTCATACGAAGCAAGCAAAGTAAACGAAGGTGGAGGAACTGTGTCGTTAATTAACAGAAATTAATCAGCCAGTAAACGAGGAAACAGCCGGCTGCTATCGACTATCGTCGTAACCGGTAATTTATAACTTTCAATTTCAAAGGCCAAGCAAACTATCCTCGGACGTCTTATTCCTCGGTTCAACGTGACACCCCTTCGACTCGACTCGCATGCAAACTATGAATAATAATTACAACGTACGCATTAGCATCTAAATTGAAGCGGTTGTAGGATGCTTTTGGCGTTCGCGTCGCGCACCCGATAAAACGGTACAGCTTCTGCTGCACTCTATGTTCCACTTGCCAATTCATTGGGGCAGCTTTACGATCGGCCACGGACAGCGCCGCCTACGATTTTCAAGAGAAAGAACAGATTCCAGCGGTTAAAGGGCGGCAGAGGCCGGAACGGCAGCCGAAGCGCTTTAAATTGGCCGCGTGGGCTTTGACGATGATAAGTAGCTGGCTGCGGCTTGTACTCGTACGAACGTGCGCGCTCCACCTCTCTCTTCCACGAAACGTGCCAGAAGGAGACGCGGAAGGTAGGAGCAGAAAAGCGTAGACGAGGTTGCGCGAACCTGGCAATGAATGAAGCGGGATGAAATTTGACAGAAACGAGAAACGTTGATCGAGCAGCATCAGGAAGCTGAAGACGTGGAAAGAAGCGTCTTTAAAGTATTCTGCGTGACCAGGAGGAAAATGAGAGGTTTACGACGAAAGGATGGCGTGGTCGAAGGAAAATAATTCTCTGCCTTGTCACAGTACAGTACAGTATGTTACAAGTGTAACTGTTCATTGAACGCAAGTTGTACTATTTTTTCTAGTTAAGCTTAAGCTTCTAATTAACTGTGTGCAAGCTTCCAACGAATCACGCGAACCGTATTAACCAGTTGACTGGGCAATTTAGTCTGAAAAATCGCTAATTTGCGTAATTGAAATCAAGCAACGACGAATATACACGTCCAGCGCGGGACAAATGCTTCTGTTATAAATTTGTCGAAAGAGGTAAAAATACATGAAAAATTAATGATTCATTGAAAAAGGTATTGTTGAAGTATACATATACTATACATATACATATACATATGACACAGATCGCTACTCTGATCTACACAGTGGAACTGCGAAACACCCACCCCTTTGCCATATACACAGATACCCAGGAGCGGGACATCCCCACCAAGAGAGCGAATCGGAAGAAGAACGTTAAAGAGAGACAGAAGAAAAGCGGAACAAAAAAAGATAAACCAAACTAAAGTGAAACAAAAAGAAAGAAGGAAAGAAAGAAAGAGGGTAGAATGGAAGGGATAGGAACGCTCGCAACATTGCGAACGGCAACGTTGCACACTACCTGGTGGCCGGTCTGACAATGTGCGCCAGGGACCACCCGCAACAATACCTATCTTTCCTGGCCGACAGGGAAAGAAAGACGGAGAAGGAAGGGCAGGAGAAGAGGCACAGATCAGAAGGGAATCGAGTCTTGCAGGAGAAAAGGAACGAACGCTTTTCTCTTCTCTTTATAACCTTTCTCTCTCTCGCTCTTTCTACGTGTTTGCTTCCCTTTCTTCTCTATAGCTGGCGTTCGGGTATTTACAGTTACAGAGCAACGGAAGGTAGCAAGAAGCGTAGAGAGAAAGATAGATAAAGGAGGGGGAAGAAAGGAGGCAGCAGCGTGGAAACACGCGGCACGATAGACGTGCAGATGAAAATACAGATTACACACGCTTACGTATCTCGGGGCAGTAGCCGGGCGTCGAGTATCGGATAGCAAGGTTTTCCAGCCAATTAACCCCGGTGCCGCGGCCTCGCGGCCCG